TTGGACGAAAAAAAGTTTGTTCAACAGCGTTGCTGTCGGCAAACAACGTGGCAGAGCGGAATAATACATTATCAAGTAATATCTATGAACAAAGGTCGAAGTTTCACTGCCACTCCGTGGCGCTTGATGAAAGTACTGACAATGCTCAGCAATTTTCATCAGAGGTGTTGATCATTAGTTTGAGGTGACAGAAGAAATGCTGAGTTTGTGTCCCATGTATGGCCCAACCAAAGCTAGAGATATGCGTCAGCAGCTGTGCAGTGCGACTGAGCAGTTTGGTGTGGCATGAAACAGACAGAGCACTGGCCAGCTTTTTGCAGACCCCTTCTCAGCTGATGAGCGTGTCCCCAGCATGCTGCAAAATGAACTTACTGACTTGCGGTGCAACAGTGAACTGAAAACTAAGTTCCGAGAGGCACAGGGAAAAGCAGACCAGACTGCAAAGTTTCTGAGAGCTCCCTTCATCCTTGCAAGAGCTGTCCAGAGTTTTCAGTCGTGTAATGCCCCTTTTTGGAACCGTGTGAGAAACTGGTCTTGACAGTGAACTTTAATAAAAGCAAGTACAGTTCAAGGCTTGTTACCACGCAAACACTCCAGAGGGCTTCCAATGAGATGACAGTGCCAGCAGTGGTCGCCAAGTCATTGAAGTTTGAGACCTGTGAGTAAGATGGTTGCGAAACAGGTCATTTCTATATTTTATATATAGCCCCTTCGTAAGTCACGTCGTCAAAAGCCTATTTACCAATATAAGCAAAAATATTACAAACACAGAAACATCGGCAATCATTTTTTGGGAGATTACGACCTGGTTATTCCACCAAGCATGTGTGCGTCAACCTATTAGTTGAGCATGGCGCTATTGTCACGGTCGTTGGTTGTTCGTGTAGTCTAACAAAACAGTCACGTACAGACTTCATATTGACCGTGTCTGATTTTTGTATCGAGGAAACGCTATGGCGCCATGTTCATCTGTATTGTTTCATCGCCCATTACTATCTCAAGGTATTCTAGGTTGTAATTTAAAAATCTTACAGTACTGGTTTACGTGATTATCTGCTGAGCTGAAGCAAACGCACCGCTAACTAAATAATTCACTGAACGTTTGTATTTTAGGAAACCCAGGTCCATCCTTTAGCAAAAGCAAACCTAGCCGTATGTAGCTTGCTAGGCAATCTTAATCTGCAAGTTCAAAAGCGTTGACTAACCCACCACACAGATGACCTGCTTTCACGACCCTGCACAACATGACTTGCAAGTAATTATGTCACCAACGATAGTTACCTAAAGCCGTGCCAAGTTTCGTAGCAATCCATGTTTTTTCCACACAGTCTGTACCTTCCGGTAGGTCCCAGTACCCCATTTCGGACTTATCAAGGACACAAATCGAATTCTCGCGAGAATTGCTCGTGTGGTTTTTGGCGTCTGGCGAACCCACTGGTGCACTGTCGACACCTGCTGGAGAGTGAAGTAAGTACACTAGCACTAGCATATAACTAGATTGCAATGAATAGTTGTAATGTCTACGGAAGTATATTTTGCACTGAAATTATATAAAATAATCTTTAAAGAAATACACAGGATGCGCATATGAAATACGTGACTAATTTACTCAACGCTTCATATACTCTTCAGTATATCAGGTCGCTGTGTTTTAGATGCTCTGCAAAGATCAGACTGCAGAAAAGATATGTTACATCTGAAAACATTTAACAAAAAATAAAAAAAAACACAGTTAACTAGACTAACTAACCAATAATCATCAGCAATTTTGAGCAAACCAACACCATCACTCATTAAATGACTTGTCAGCCTGCAATAGATATGACATGACATCACGGTCATTTTGTAACAGTGTGGCTATGACAGTGTTGTTTAAAGTACAGACAATGGTTTGAGTGGAGACTCTCTTTTTTGTTCTTAACACTTTCTCTTAAGCTCTTTATACAACATACCTTTGCTTCTCTCTGCAGCTGACTGACAAACTAACAACAGCACAACCAAGAGTAGTCCACAGACAAGTTTTTTTAATACTGCCTTCACCTGACAACTACTCTGCAAACTACCACTAACAGAGAATATAACATACAGTATAATAGGAAGGAAAAGTAGGAAGAACACAAGCTCACTGAAACTCAAGTTGTTCCTGATGAAAACCCCTACCCTTCTATTTTTAACCAAAAGGTATGAGTCTACATAACTTTTCAATTTACTTTATTGAAAATAAACAAGGAAACAGCAACATAAAACAACAAGATATATTTTTTTTACTGTTCATAGCAACATGACTGAAAACATACACGGACACATACCTTCTATGCTTCTTTCATGCAGTAGTAGCATAACAGAATTCTACCTTTCACTGCAAAAATGCCCCTACCATGCTCAGCAACTAATATATAAAATTCATCAGTAGCCATAGTCAAGGCCATTTTCTTTTATGTGATGGGTATGCCAAATCATGAAAGGACTCACTAAGATCCAAGAAGCCAATCAATGTCTGCTGTTTTGAAATGTCTGTTTCTGCCTTACAGACTAAAATACTGTCAAGTTCAGCAGTATTTCCAGAAGTCTCTGTTTCAAGGGGGATTAAAAACTGAAGTGGTGTGGACATTACCCAAGTACAACTCAATCGCAATTCAGTTGGTGATCCCTGACATTTTGCAGTATCACTTAAGAATAAACAAAAAACAAAACACAGACACATAACTTCTTTTTTATGGATACTGTATGAGTATGCTTTGCATTTGCATATAAAACTCTTATTTCTTCTTCCACAAGTGGCTATATTTGTCCACTTTGAAATCATCGTCATACTGGACTCCTGTTTGTTTTTGAGGCTTCTTCACTTCTCTTTTCTTCAGCCGTACTCGACGTTCCTCTTCTGACAGAGTAGACAGATTTACCGGCATCTTTCAAAACAGATGAATAAAATAAAATTAAAAACAACACATCAGCTCACATAAGCAAAATATTAAGTGACATGCTCACTGGCTTCTGCTACAGGACCCGAGCAATTGGATTTTTTTTTTTATTATCTATTGAGTCTGCTTTCCTCTTATTAGCATGTGGAGGGCTGGGTTTGGGTTGTATACAGTAGAATGTTGGAAAAACTAAATGTAAATTTATTTTAGACAAATACATACATTATTCATATTAGGGGTGGGGGAAAAATCGATACTGTGTAGTATCGTGATATTTTGTTTGCTAATAATGTATCGATACAGGGACAGCAGAAATCGATATTTTGTTACAAAAAAGTTTTTGTGGACTGGAACATGCTCTGACTTCAGAGCATGTTGA